ATTATAAGGATTTATTTAATATGACAAAACATCCCACTTTAATTGTGAATCTTGCTTGTTTCAGTAAATGAAATAAAGCATTGTGAGTTAATAAATTATAATATATTAAAGATATTAAAGTTATTTGAAATTTTTAAAAGCTAATAACTCTGGAACTAATAATTTTAAAAGTTATCTCAATGATAGGTCGTAGAACTAGTCAATAACTATCTATTTTTTCCAGTAAGCATTCAATATTCCCTATTCAGCTAGTGACCCATACTGTACAAAAAAAATATTTATTTCATTAGTAAAGAAAATTTTTTGATTTTCAAGTTCATGAAACTAATCTAATTTGAATAGAATAATGCCACAAAGGAAAATAAATTTTAAAATTTGTGGATACAATAGGCATTCAATATATTTGTTGTGTAAATTCGAAATAAAAGTTCAAGGCAATGTAGAAGATTGTTATGGGTTTGTTATATGTAATTAAATATGGAGCGCGAAGTTCCTTTTGTACCACCAAAAAATTTACTTTTTGTAGTCAAATAAAAACTAATCTTTCGATGTTATTCCAGGTAAATTGTGGTTTTTTCCTTTTTGGCTAAAAAACAGTTTTTTAAAACAATTTGTAGATTTTATTGGCTAAAGTCAATTATCAGCTGGCTAAGCAAGTTGTCCAAGCATTTAAATTCCTTAACTGTATGACATCATTACTCCATATGATGCATATGATGATCAAATAATCACCAAAATTCCTTTCAATTTTTTTATAATTCCATAGAATTTGAAGAATCAAGAAAAGTGGAAATTAAGAAAAAGTGAAATTAACTGAACAATCAGAATGAAATTCAATATTTTTCTTCTCTTTTTGATTATCTTTGCTGTTGTTACTTTAGCAAGTCCAATTGATGTTAGTTTGGAAAAACGAGAAGGTATTTCACTTGCTATTGTTATTATTACAATAAATATTATCATAGTCAATATCATTGTTTTTGAAAAAATATTAATTGTTGGTTTTTCATTTTATTTTAAATAATACATAGCCCATAAGTATTTTCATCATTATAATTATTAGTCATTATTATTACATTCATTATTATTCTTGAAAAAAAAGTTAACTGTTGATTTTCATTTTATTTTAAATAATAAATAGCAAGTAAGCATTTTCATCATCATTATTATTACATTCAATATTATTCTTGAAGAAATATTAACTGTTGATTTTTATTTTCATTTTATTTTAAATAATAAATAGCAAGTAAGTATTTTTCATCATCATCATCATCATTACATTCATTACCATTCTTGAAAAAATATTAACTATTGATTTTCATTTTATTTTAAATAATAAATAGGGAGTGAGTGTTTTCATCATTATTATTATTACATTTAATATTATTCTTGAAAAATACCAACTGTTGATTTTATTTTAAATAATAAATAAGCAGTAAGTGTTTTTTTTATCATCATTACATTCAATATTATTCTTGAAAAATTATTAACTGCTGATTTTCATTTATTTAAATAATAAATAGTCAGTAAGTGTTTTCATCATTATTATTATTACATTCAGTATTATTCTTAACTATTGATTTTCATTTTGTTTTAAATAATAAATAGCATGTAAGTATTTTCATCATTATTATTACTACAGTTAATATCATTGTTTTTTGAAAAGTATTAACTGTTGATTTTCGTTTTATTTTAAATAATAAATAGGCAGTAAGTATTTTCATCATTGTTATTATTACATTCAATATTATTCTTGAAAAAATGATAACTGCTGATTTTCATTTTATTTTAAATAATGAATAGTTGGTAAGAATTTTCATCATCATTATTACATTCAATATTATTCTTGAAAAATTATTAACTGTTGATTTTCATTTTATTCTAAATAATAAATAGGAGGTAGGTGTCATCACCATCATCATTATTATATCCATTATTCTTGAAAAATATTAACTGTTGGTTTTCATTTTATTTTAAATAATAAATAGCAAGTAAATGTTTTCATCATTATCATTATTACATTTGATATTATTATTCTTGAAAAAATATTAACTGTTGATTTTCATTTTATTTTAAATAATAAATAGGAGGTAGGTGTCATCATCATCATTATTACATTCAATATTATTCTTGAAAAATTATTAACTGTTGATTTTCATTTTATTTTAAATAATAAATAGCAAGTAAGCATTTTCATCATCATTATTATTACATTCAATATTATTCTTGAAGAAATATTAACTGTTGATTTTCACTTTATTTTAAATAATAAATAGACCGTAAGTATTTTCATTGTCATTATTATTACATTCATTATCATCATTCTTGAACAAATATTAATTGTTGATTTTCATTTTATTTTAAATAATATAAAGCCGGAAGTAAAATGGCAATTTGCTAGTTTCAAAATAGCAAGTAATTGTTTTCATCATTATTATTGTCACATTAAATATTATTCTTGAAAAAATATTTATTAAATGTTGATTTTTACTTTATTTTAAATAATAAATAGGCAGTAAGTGTTTTCATCATCATTATTATTACATTCACTATTATTCTTGAAAAATTATTAACTGTTGATTTCCATTTTATTTTAAATAATAAATAGCAAGCAAGTGTTTTCATCATCATTATTATTACATTCATTATTATTCTTGAAAAAATGTTAAATGTTGATTTTCATTTTATTTTAAATAATAAATAGGGAGTAAGTGTTTTCATCATTATTATTCAATATTATTCATGACTGTTGATTTTCATTCTATCTTAAATAATGAGTAGCTAATATCAATGTTTTTGTAAAAAGATGATCGTTTTATTTTAAATTTACTATTGTTACAGTTAGCAATGTAATTATTTTTGAACGTTTTATAGGGCGTAAATATCTTATTATCATTTTGTTCTTCAGCTCTGATACAAACTATCTTATTTTTATTTTTATTTTTATTTTTATTTTTATTGTTTTTTTTTATGAATAATTATATATTATATATTTCTTGGAAATAAAGAATTCTTTAATTTTTACATTGCGTAAGATTTATTTTACAATATAAGAAGCAAAAATAAACAAAACAATTCCACTGAATTAATACTAATAATAACTAATGTTCATGCACAATAAGCGTTTATAATTTGAAAAGATAAATAAGCAAGTTTTATGTGTCAAAACTATATTAAATATCAAAAATCCTGTTGAAACTATGCCAAAGTGGCAAGCGAAACTCTGCCAAAACTCTAATAAACAATTAATGTGTAACCTGCCAAAACCCTGCTGATTGATTTCTGGATGAGTTTCGGCAAGCAACCTTAGCCACAATTAGTTACAACTAATTGAGGAGCCATCTTTAAATTGTACTTGATTTCTGGAAAAGCATTCCTTGATGACTTGAATATTGGAGACAAACATTCTACAATAAATGTTCACTCAGAGAAGCTTACTTTGATTACTCCTACACAAACTATTGAATAATTAATAAAACGTTCGTGCCCCATTTGATGAAATACTTTTTACACTCCAAAATATTTTCATCACTCAACCTTGATATACATACACTTTAGTTTTCATGATCAAAAATTATTGGATTTCTATATTCAAAATTTGATGTAAAGGCCAACAAAGAATGTTTAATAAAAAAAAGAAATCTTCCAGTTTTTGATTGATCACTATAGTGTGTTGTTGCTTCTGATATTATTTTTGATTTAATAACACTTGATAATCATTGGCACCAACTATACATGCAGCCCAAATTGGTTTGGTGATTTTGATGGTAGAAAGTAGAAATTTAATTACGGCATTCACTATTAAAAAACATAAGTGTAACACCCCTTTACTACATGTGCAACCCCCTTTATGACAGTGTCAAAATACTTTGGGCTGCATGTATAGCACCAACTGATTTCTCAATATAATTGATGGTGGCATGAAATGCATAAACACAGTGAACCCTCCATACTCCATAAATGCATGCTCTCTCATCCATTCCCAAGGGGTATGCACTTATGGAGGGTTCACTCTAATGTATGCTGATGAATACTGATCATACATATTTTCAGAAATTATCAGTTTGTTTGGTGTAAAAATCAAAGGGTTATATTTTTTGGTGTTATTGACAGTGGAAGTTTGTGTGAATCACTATTGGCCAAAAATTTATGAAAGTTAGGAATTGATAGCATTGATAAACTTGATAAAAAATCAGGATTATGGAATATAATAATACATACTGTATTTGATTCATCTTCAGAATAATAATCATCAACATCATTCATATTTTGATATTAGCTAAAATGGAAAAGTACAACATATTTGTCATTAAATTCTTCATATTCTAAAATTTTATCATCAGTTGCTATTCAGTGACTAGAATCAAACATGAATTGCAAGTATAAAATCAACATGAAGAAGCTTACCCTAGACCTTTTGTGATTTTTATTTCCACACTGGGGATCTAATGTTCTTTTTTGGCTTCGTTGTATATTATTTTCTTTATCAGTATTTGGTTAGGATTTTCAAGAGTTAAAATTGTAATACAAAAGTAAGCTGCATTACAACATAGACAAACAATAAATGAGCTTACAGCATAAAATAAAGATACTTACTGGTTGTATATTATTAATATCTGGGTTTGGTATAGAGTATTTATGCTGCCCAAAAATTAAAATCATTTGGGATTAGGACATCCCAAATTCACTTTGTGAATTTGGGCCAGCCTGTCAAAGAATTCCAAATCTCAAACTACTTTGTACACCCATGGCATTCTGTCTCCCAACCAATAAGTGACTAGGATTTGTGGAAGTGATCAGCAACAACTTTGTTACACTAGATGCTTATTGGTTAGGAAAGCAAGGGAGGAAAATTGAGATGTATAAAGGAATTTGGGATTTGGGATCCTTGCTTGATTTTTAATTTGGCAGCACCTATAGTATAGAGCCTGAAACATATATTACAAAGTCAAACCAGATGTATGAGCTGTGTTATAAAATACTTATAGAGAAATATATAATATTTACTTGCCTTCAGAAATACAATTAGAGCTGTCAACTTCATGTATGCTACTGTCTTCTAAAGATTTATTCTCTGTGATATGCTTCATATGTATTCTTTTCACTTTAACTAATGGTTTCTTTGATACATTTCTGTTATATTCCATAAGCTGACTTCTATACATGGTCAATGAAGTATCACAAAGACAAAGAAAGCCTATCTTGTCAAAGTACAACATTTCTTCTTCCTAGAAGACAAAATAAATTTAAAAGGTTAAACTAATTTCATCAAAAAGGTCAATCTATTATAAGACTTACCATAAGCAATTGTCTTTCATGGTTTATTTTAGCTTGTTTTGTTGAAGATCTGAGAAATGTTTCACTGGTGGTGAGTTCTTGGCATTCCTGTAACAATAAAGCAGAAGGTCTATTAATTAATTTTCATTACTAAATCACTCAATATTGAGTGCAACTGTGCATATTCGAGCAACACAGACAAAGACACACCCTTTCCCACTACAAAGACATACTCTGCAGGATATTCTGCTAGTCAATTGACAACCATATTATTCACTGAGTAGTTTTCACCAACAAGGATGCACCATTTTCCACTACAAGGAAGCACCCTGCAGGGTAGTTGATGTACTCAGGTTGTCATGACTATACATGCAGCCCAAAGTATTTTGATACTGTCATAAAGGGGGTTACACATGTAGTAAAGGGGTGTTACACTTATGTTTTTAATAGTGAATGCTGTAATTAATTTCTACTTTCTACCATCATAATCACCAAACCAATTTGGGCTGCATATATATACAGGGTAGGGTTGGAAAATTGAATGGTCCATTGAGAACTGATGGATTTGGACTGGTCCATTGCCATCAATAAAATACAAAATATGGTTAAAGCATTACACTAATGGACCCAATAGACCACCAATAGACCAGCAATAGACCACATATTTTCCAACCCTGTTACAGGGTAATATTTGCTAATGGTTTTCAATTCAGTAATATATTGATGATGTTCTGTTGCTTCAGCTTCCAAAAAGATGAAAATCTAGAAATATCTTTAAAGATAGCTCATCAATATTTTCCCAAAACTCTATATTTTCAAGTTAAAAATTTAACAACAGGCTATAAAATTCTCATAACAATGATAAGAAAAACTGAATAAACAATTTGCTTTACCAGGACATGTCAAAGCCATAAAACATTTATTGTTTTGAACACAAAAATTGCCTATCATTAGCACTAAAAAGTAAAAATCACAAGACAAATTATATATGTATTATCAATTAATTAATATTAAAACATTACATTGGTGATGACAAATTTTATACCTGAAATTTGGTAATACAAATATTCACTTTGTCTGGTTTTGTTGCTCAACTGAGATTTTTTATACAACACTCTATGTAGAAAATTCCGGAAATTTTGAAAATTATCCAATAGAATAAATTTCATAAGAAAAAAAATTTAATATTAATAATAGTTATTATTATTAAATGTGTATCTTTTCCTTTTTTAGTAAGATCAACTATGATATTCGTGATATTCATTCGAATAATATTCATGATATTCGGACAATGTTCGAATAATTCCGAATGAATAAATTACCCAGAAATGATCTGCTCCGCGCTTTTATTTCAATAATAATATTTATATAAAATAAAAGAAGTTACCTCTGATTAATTATTAACACGTCTTCTTTAGAAGAACCCTGCAATACCACGACATTTACATTCCTTGTCTTGTAAAAAATAATTGTCTTCCAAAAAAAAAAAAATCAATCGCGTCAACAAAAAAAATAGGGTGCTTCTTTGTACAATCCATATACATAAATTAATTTTTTTGTGTACAGTACATCCATTATTAATCAACTATTTTTTTTTTAAAAATAATTATTAATCAACTATTTTTTTTTAAATATAAATATCAATCAATTATTTTTTTTAATCATGTCAAACCGATTAAAAAAATACAAAAAAAAGAAGTAAAGACAAAGAATCAAGGGAGAGACGCGAGTAAATGTTCATCAAAAGAATGGTGATGGTGGTTATCACCACTCGTTGTCACTCTAGTTTATTTAATTAGTGGAAACGACGAATCTTCAATTAAAGAAAATGAATTTAATGAAGAGGACAAGGTATTTGATAAAATTTCACATGATGTTTTTAGACTGATGTGCATTTGTAAATTAATAATTTATTCTACTTCTCCCCCATATATTTCAACTACTCTTTTTTGGTTTAGCATGGACTAAATGTACCCGAAGAGGAAGCTACTTCTGCTACTGCTACTACTACTTGTAGAAGGAATGTTTGTAGTAGTATTAGTAGTAGCAAATCTAGTTCATTGGTTTATAATTTAGAAACAAAAGATTCATTGAAAAGAGTAATAATCCGGTTTATTTATTAGTTTTCATTAAATCACTCAATGGTAAATATAAAACTTATACCCTTTTTAATTTAGCCTAGGTTAAACCATCCATAAACGTACACCATCTTCAACCGAGATGTTAAAACTGCCTCCATTAATAAACGAGGAAGAGGAAGAGGAAGAAGAAATTACTGTTATTCGAAATGTTCCTCGTAAATTGTCTTCTGTAGACGAAGTTTTTGAAAGTGATTTCTTCGCAGAAGAACACAACGTATCGAGATTATTCCATGAATCAGGGTTGGCAAGTTTACTGGTCCATTGAGAATAGATGGATTTTGGACTGGTCCGTTGCCACTAATAAAACACTAAATATGGTTAAAGTGTTGCATTAATGGACCATCAATGGACTACACATTTGCCGACCCCGCCGTAAATACAAAAACGAATCAATCGAGATTTCCAACACGGGTGGTTTATATGTTGAAGAAAACGTCCATGAAATTTTGGCGTTAACTTCTATTCTCATGGTTACGCCAAATTCTTATTCAGACGTTATGATTAACATTTTCGGTTAGATTTATTAGATAAAGTTAGGGTTGTTAAATGGAGCATAATGTTCTGGAATCTGTATCACTCCATCATGGAGTGGGTTAAGATTTCTAATTTTTTGTACTAACCCGGAGCAAAATATTTCATTATAACCCGGGTTGCTCCAAATCATTTTAGTAATTAGATTATTAATCAATTAATAAAATAATAATTTGTTAATTTTGATTTCTTTGTTCGCGAATTTTATTATGAATAAAAAACTGAAAATTTATGAAAATTTATATGAAATACTTTCAGATAGTGAGCCTGAACCATCAGGTGAATCA